CTCTTTTTGTTGCAGAGAAAGAAGAAGGCAGGAAGTTACTTTTGCTTGAAACTTGTTTTCTGTTCCTGGCAGGTGTTGAAGAAGCAGGGTTATGATGCAGCCTGTGACATCTGGAGTCTCGGAGTCCTGCTCTACACGATGCTAACAGGGTAACAGAGACTCTTTGCTTCTAAGAAACTTAATTTCACATGGAAACTTTTCTTTACCTGACATCAGTTTGTCAAAGATGCTTCTTTGTTACAAAAAGTAAAAGAAACGCCAACAATGATGGTTCATGGTTATCAGGCGGTTTCTAACCACAGCTGGTTGATGGTGAGCTGCTGGTATTTCCTGATGAGACGCGGTCTGAGGACTCACTGAGAAGGCAAAATGAAATTCCTTATGAAACAAATGTCATCAAGGCAACGAGTGATGATCTCACACTGAAATAATTTTGATGTGTTTACACTGTCTGTGTGAAATTAATGCCTGTTCTTTCATAGTTTTGGTGCCTGTTCGAGATGTTTGCAGGTCTTACACTTTCTGCATATCATCCCCTTTACTCTGTCCTTCCAGTTTCACTCCATTTGCTAACGGTCCAGAGGACACCCCGGAGGAAATTTTGGCTCGGATCGGCAGCGGGAAGTTCTCTCTCAGCGGAGGATACTGGAACTCTGTCTCAACTGAAGCTAAGGTGGGGACACAGAAAAGTAGCTCCGATTGAAGTGAGCCGCTCACCGTCTCTCTGTGATCGCCATGGTGACCCGGAGTTCATTTGTAACCTCTGACCCTTTAGGACCTGGTGTCTAAGATGCTGCACGTCGACCCCCACCAGCGGCTGACAGCGGGGCAGGTCCTCAGACACCCATGGGTGACGCACAGAGACCAGCTACCCAAATACACCCTCAACAGACAGGACGCACCACACCTCGTCAAGGTAACCATCCATCCATCCATCCATCCATCCTTCCATCCTTCCATCCTTCCATCCTTCCATCCATCCATCCTTCCTTCCATCCATCCATCCTTCCATCCATCCTTCCATCCATCCATCCATCCTTCCATCTATCTCTCCATCCTTCCATCCATCCATCCATCCTTCCATCCATCCATCTTTCCATCTATCTCTCCATCCATCCTTCCATCCATCCATCCATCCATCCATCCTTCCATCCATCCATCCATCCATCCATCCTTCCATCCATCTATCCTTCCATCCATCCATCCATCCATCCATCCATCCTTCCTTCCATCCTTCCATCCATCCTTCCATCTATCTCTCCATCCTTCCATCCATCTCTCCATCCTTCCATCCTTCCATCCATCCTTCCATCCATCTCTCCATCCTTCCATCCATCCTTCCATCCATCCTTCCATCCTTCCATCCATCCATCTCTCCATCCTTCCATCCATCCATCCATCCTTCCATCCATCCTTCCATCCATCTCTCCATCCTTCCATCCATCCTTCCATCCATCCTTCCATCCATCCATCTCTCCATCCTTCCATCTCTCCATCCATCCTTCCATCCTTCCATCCATCTCTCCATCCTTCCATCCTTCCATCTCTCCATCCATCCTTCCATCCTTCCATCCATCTCTCCATCCTTCCATCCATCCTTCCATCCATCTCTCCATCCTTCCATCCTTCCATCCATCCATCCATCCTTCCATCCATCCTTCCATCCATCCATCCTTCCATCCATCCATCTCTCCATCAATCCATCCATCCTTCCATCTCCATCATTGGTTGAT